GTCAATCTGACAGAAGTAATACAGTTTCAAAAAGGAACTCTCTTGTATAGAATGGGCACAACACAAGTAGGGTGATAGTGTTATCAGGCAGTTGCCGGAGTATCAAACAGTCAAAACAGCGAGTAATGGTCGCCAGACTCAAATTATTCCTAATAGATGTGTTATAGAACATCAGAAGGTCAGGTGGTCCACAGCGGTCTGATGTTGGAACCAGTGAGTACACACACACACACACACACACACACACGTTGAAGGTTCTGTTCACCACACCAACACGAGGGTGAATTGTTGTCTTGTTCACCAAGCATTGCAGAGCTCTACCATCTGTGTCTAACATACAAACTGCCCCTTGTTCACTCGCCCATCACCAGAGCCGAGACAGCTTCTTCTAAAGTGGTGTCATAACCAGGAGGCATTGATTGGTGACAAGTTATATCATGTTCAGGGGAGATGACCAATTTTACCAACACTGTGAAGAAAAACAAACCTGTACCACTCTGGGCTTTCTGGTGTGAAAAACTGCAGGATGTGACTTCAGGTCATCTCTGCTGGTGATGCAGGGACTCCTAAGGTACAGTGTCTGTGTTTTGTTGGGGACCTCCTGCAAAATCATTGTTTGGTGCAGCATTCAAGTCCTTTTTTTGCACAATAATTGAGCTACACACACAGGAAAAACTGCTGAATGTTCAGTTTTACATCAAGCTGCACCTGCAGCCTTTTCTCTCACACATACTGGACACCACAGAGCTGATAATGAAAAGATCACACAACTCACCTGCATAATGTTATTTGTCAGTCCATCGATTTTGTGCAAACTGAACATCCTGTTATTTCAGTCAAAATTTGTTGCAATAAATTATGAATGCCTATGTGAATGTATTTCTCATTAAAACCAGTCTGAAGGAAATTGGATCAAATTTTATTTCAAAGTTGCATTTTATAAGCAGTTTAGAAAGTTAGCAAATTGTTGCAGCTCATTCATTGGGATAGAAACAGATTAAATGCTAAAAAGTAAAAATAAATAAATAATTACAACTGCAGCTGGTGAATATCTTTTATTTCTGAATGAAAAAAATAATAGTAATAACTGACTTTTTTGGAGTTATAGTAATTTTTTTATCATGTTTGATCTCATGGAGTCACTCTGGAGCCATAAATAAAAGTTTTATTTTTCACATGCACCGTGATGTTTTCTGTAATGAACAACATTTAAAAAAATATTCTGATATGGAAAAATAATAAGTTGGTGTCTAAACAGAAATTATAAAATGCTGCATTTATTGGGATTTTCGCCAACTCAGAATCCAAACAAAAACTAAAAAGCTTGTTGGTAAATCACAAAAGTTTAAGAAWGGGAGCTCTGACGAATGAGTGACTTGAAGTTGACTGAAGGGTTTCAGAGTTCAGTGATGGCTGAGTCTCAACAGAACTGGTCAAACAAAACTCAGCGAGTTGTCAGATACAGAATCGCTCCGGTGTTATTTGTGTCGAATGTGTGGTAATGTTAGGTTTGTTGTCAGCTTCCCTGTGTCATTACATGTCTTGGTGTGTGTGTGTGTGTGTGTGTGTGTGTGTGTGTGTGTGTGTG